TGCAGCTGAGGGCCTGGGCAAAGATTCAGAGAAAACCATTGGCCATCCTAAGGGTTTGCACCAGTCCTAGTTGGCCTCCTGGCACAGACCAAACTGCTTTGGAAATTCCTTTTAGCTGTGGCGGTAGTTAGCACCACAAAGTGGCCAGAGGGTGCATGGCGCAGAAGCCTTACTGAAGCCGCCCAGGGCTGGGTCCAGTCAGTGCCTGGGGGGGGGGGGGGGGGGGGGAAAAGGTGGGTGTGATCCTTTCAGCTCCAAGGTGGCCAAAAAGGGGAATACGCCACAGCCCTAATAGGCCAGATGAGCCAGATCACAGCTCAGAAGCCGAGCAGGGCCGGTCCTTGGATGGAAGACCAGCGAGGGCGATTGGGGGGGGGGGCCTGTGCCGGAGAAGGCGATAGCAAAGCGCCGCTGCTCATTTCTTGCCTAGAAAACCCCACGAGATAGAGCCTCACGGGGTCACCACAAGCCAGTTGCAGCTCGATAGAGCGCAGTCTCCCTCACAAACCCCCCCCCCCCCCCACCCCCAAGTTCTCTTTGCGCAAGATGAACAAATCCATACTGGCTCATGCAAAGCAAGTTGGCTCTTTGGTTCCTGAGCCTGGGATTTGAACTGGTGTCGTGTGTTGGCTAAAAACTCATTCTTGTGTGCTCTTTTTTGGAGGGGCGAGGATCAAATTCTGGCTTGGGTTTGTGGAAATGTTCACGGGACTAGCCTGAGTTGTTAGTGGTAAAGCCAGGAAGCCCCTAGGCAGGATCTTATCCATGAAGTTAGCCACCTTTCGGCAAACCATTGGCATCTCCCCTAAACCCCTCCCCCTTCCATAATATGGGACTGATACTGAAGAAGAAGAAGAGATTGGATTTATACCCCACCTTTCACTCAGAGTCTCAGAGTGGCTTACAAACTCCTTCCCCTCCCCACAACAGACAGCCTGTGAGGTAGGTGGGGCTGAGAGAGCTCCTTCGAGGACTGCTCCTGAGACAGCTCTGGCAGAACTATGGCTTGCCCAAGGTCATCCAGCCAAGTGTAAGTGGAGAAGCGGGGAATCAAACCCGGTTCTCCCAGATTAGGGTCCGCGCACTTAACCACTACACCAAACTGCGAGGTCAGCATCAATGCTCCCTCTAAGCCATGGAGTCTTGTGAGCAAAAACTCTACTTTGTGAGCTCCTGGCATTAAAGTTGTGAATGAGGGATTTGGCTGCTGCAGAAATTCATTTGCTCCAAAGCCATCCTTCCTGAGCTAAGGCAAGAATGTGTGAGCTGGAGGCTGAAAAACTGAGCTAGCTCACACTAACTCAGCTTAGAGGGAACACTGGTCACCGTAAGCCGGCTGCGACTTGACAGCAAGAACAAACAGGGCGCACAGGAAGAGCTTTGAACAGGTGAAGTATACTAGCGGTATAAACACAGGTTCTCCCCAACCCACCTTGTTTCTTCTACTCAGCTGTGCAAAACTGCATTCTTGACCATTTATATTGTTACTAGCAGTAAAGCCCGTTGTGAAAGCAATACAACGGGATCTAGAAAGAGGCTCTGGGGCAGTGCTCTGGCTTTGGGCAAACAGTGTCAATTTGCTGTGGTGACCTCAGCAGGGTATAATGACAGAGTCCACTGTTTTCTCCAGAGGAACTGATCTCTGCTACCTGAAGAGCAGTTGTAATTGTGAGTAATCTGTAGCCCTCACCTGGAGATTGGCAACAATTGTTACCGAACAAAATGGCTGGTTTGGAGGGTGTAGTCTATGGCATTCAACCTGAGGTCCCACCCCTCTGCAAACCCCACCCTCTCCAGGCTCCACCCCTCAAATCCCCAGGAATTTGTCAGCATGTAGTTGGCAACCCCATCTCCTTTCCAGCTAGCCATCAACCTACCATTATCTGCCCCTTTGACTTCAGCTGACTTCTGCCCTCCCTTCTGCAGAGCAGTTGTAATTCTGAGTGCTCTCCAGCCCTCACCTGGAGATTGGCAACAATGGTTCCCTATGTGGGACTGACTGGTTTGGAGGGTGGAGTCTATGGCAGTGTACCTGTCTGAGGTCGCACCTCTCCTCAATCGTCACCCTCTTCAGGCTCCGTCCCTCAAATCTCCAGGAATTTCCCATCTGGAGTTGGCAACCCTATCAGGACTGGCCCCAATGTGTTTTCTCCCAAAGGCCAAAGTAGGTGACAGGACCAAGCTTAGTTGCCTACCAACAGGCACTGAGGGGAAAGTAGGGTTGCCAGCTCTAAGGAGGGAAATACCTGGAGGTTTGGGGGGTGGATTCTGTAGACGGTAGCATTGGGCGGGGGGTGGTGGAAGGACTCAGCAGGTATAATGTCATAGGGTCTACCCTCCAAAGCAGCCATTTTCTCCAGGGGAAACTGATCTCTGTCAATGGCTGCTGGGCCAAGATTGGCATCAATAGTTCCCCAGGACCCCATCGTAAATGCACCAAACAATTCCTAAACATTTTCCAAAACACTACTCTGTCGATAAATTACAACAATTTGAATTAGCACCAAAGCTTTAAGATCTCTCCAGCTGTCACCTGGAGACTGCCAACAGCTTGTCTGGAGTGTGGGCAGTATGACATTGTATCTGTCTGAGGTCCCCCTCTTCCTCCTCCTCCTCAGACCCCACCCTCAGCAGGCTTCATCCCTAAAATATCCTGGAAGTTTACAACCTGGAGTTGGCAACCCTATGTCCTGGAGTTCCAACCTGGAGTTGGCAACCATCAGCCAACCTTTATCTGCCTGTCTGTCTTAAGTTTTACATCCCCCCCACAGCCTCTGCCTAGGGAAAGGGCAG